CTATAAATGTGCATATCGATATCTTCATTTTCCTTCATTCCCACTATGTTTTGTCTATTTATCGTGATATAGTTGTCAGTACCTTGATCATTATGATGTTGATATAACTAAGTAAGTTGTAAAGTATATTTTAATGATTAATATATACTCTATATTTAAATTGTTGTCTTCGATTCTTCCCTCTTAGTAAATTCTTCACTTTCCTCAATTCTCATATGCTTTTTCTCCGTCAAACAACGTTTTCCTACCCCTTTCTACCATATTTATTACTTCCCCTTTCAAGTTCAATGATTAACTGATTATACTCCATCTATACATGTTTGTCTATCAGTCTTCCATCTCATACAAAATGTAGTTCTTCGTTTTCCTAAATTTTTATATTCCTTTTCTCCGTCCAACAACGTTTTCCCACCCCTCTCTACAATAGCAATGCCTTCGCCTTCAATTCTATAAGTATACCATACACCAAGTAATTAAACAGCTGATAGTTAGATAGTTGATCGATTATCTTGCTTCTAACGAGCATAATGATTGTGACATAACTGACACTGCCCTCTATCGACTCGAAATATAATCAGTACCTGCTCATGAAACTTACGTATAACTGTCATAAAAATGAGAACCACCTTGAATTTCGCACAAAAAATTGTAGGATAAAGTTTAATGAGCGATGTTAAAGAAAAGAATAACAAAAGAAAAGGAAGAAGAATTAGCAGAAAAGAGTAAAGAAGAACGGAGAAGAAGAAAAACAAAAGTGAACATAATTTGATGCTAGCTAAAGAACGAGGTAACCAAATAAACAGAGTACTAGTTGCGGGGTAAAAGACAAAGCGGTGTTGGCGAATTTATTTGAGATCATACCGATTCAACAAAAAAAATGGAAACAGTACTAAGAATGTAAATTGATGCTTAAAACTTCCATAAAACTGTGGCCCAGGTCGAAAAAGACAGTTGAAACCAGCCGGTATACCGCACTTTTTCTGTTTACAGTTATTCTCTTTCTGTTTATATTTGATATCGACTAATTCATTATTCATGTATTTAAATTGTTAAATTATCATGTTTTGTCATGTGAGTTATAAGTATTGTGCTATGCACGCGAACCAGGAGATGCAATGTATCATCATCTCATTCTAAATCTCATATGTACTCTGTATCAGAGATAAATAAAGTATCCAGTTGTCATGGTTACAAAGTATAACTTAATAATACAGTTTTGTGTCGTTTTATACTTTAGCGCTTTGTAATAGTGGCATAAACTCTGAATATTGGATTTTTATATTGATAACCTAACGTCTATGGTGATGTTGATGATGGAGATTCTGATATGGTAATATGTTGATGGGTGATCAATGATGAAGATCGATGACGACAGTAATTGTACGTCATAAACATGTGATGAGAGAGGAGAAGAGATGGAGAGAGACAGAAAGAGAGAGAACGATTGAAATTGAGAAAGCGAGAGAGACAGAGCAGAGAGAGAGAGAGAAGGGGGGACAGAGCAGAGAAAAGGAGGGAGAGATCGAGAAAGAAAGACAGAGCAGGGAGAAAGAGGGGAGATTGAGGAGATGAGAGAGAGAGAGAGAGAGAGAGAGATAGCACCATTGCAATCGTGAATACTGCACCAATACCACCAAATATTGCTAATGTTGCTAACATCTTCACCATGACTACAATCATCTACATTACCACCATGACTACAATCATCTTCATCATCATCACCACTAAAATCATTACCATCTCCATCAACACCTATATCTACAATCATCTTCATCATTACCACCATCAACATCATCACCACCATAATCATCAACATCCCCATCAACATCATCACCACCATCTCTACAATCATCATCTTCATCATCACCACCATAATCATCATCTTCATCATCATCACCATAATCATCATCTTCATCATCACCACCATTATTTATCCCTCCCGCCCCCACCTCCCCTTTGAATAAATGTTATAATTTTGTAGCTCACAGAGTGCTTCTAAAAAAAAATTAAAAACCAATAACACCACCAAAGCATGTGATAGATTATACATATACAGCATTAAAACAACAAACAAAATCATATACCTTTGTGCAGTACCAAAACTGTTAATTATATTTATATTTCATGTGGATGACAACAAATATTGACAGGTTACATTATATATAAATATGTACATTTACAGTCAAACGTATCTATGATGGCCACCTGTCTTTACAGACAGGTTTATATGTTATTTCTTTTCTCCAGTGAAACAACATCCATTATAACAATCTTGTGTTGAATAATAATAACAAGGTAATTCTGCTGGCCCCAAGTATTCAATTTTTCTTTGTTTTCTCTTTCAAAAATCCTGATATAACAAAGTTTCAACATAACAAGCCAATTTCCTTGATAAAATAATAATATGTTCATTTATCTATCATTCTAACACAATGGGTTTCACGGTGCTGTACAAGGTATGAAGATGGGAAAATCAGATAAATAAATACATCTTCAAGTGCTCCTGAAAGGTGTCTAGTGTGGGTGCTGTGCAGATGTTCGAGGGCAGTTGATTCCAGAGGGAGGGGTGCACATGATTGAAAAAGCATCGTCATCTGACACTGTGGCTGGTCTACAGTACGCTATATATCGAGGTTCAACTGTATCTTGAAGTGTAAATTACTAAATGTCCCCCCCCCCCCCCCAAAAAAAAAAAAAAAAAAAAAAACATAACAGAAAGACACCACTTGTGGCGCTTACATAATTATATTGTACAGTGCAATCTCATTATAACATAACAAGGTCCTTGGGACCATGGAAATTACCTGTTATATCAGGCTGAAAAAACCCATCAGAATATAAAGAGCCGGGACCAGCTAAATCACCTTGTTATAACAGATACCTTGTTATACCAGAAATCTCAATAATGAGGGCCCACCGCACATTAATATTTGCACACTCTGTTACAAGGGAATCTTGCAACAAATAAAAACAAAAACAAAAATATTTGGACTAAAACAAATTGACCATGTTATATTGGAATCTTGTTAAAATCAAGGTGGGATAGTGTTGGAGGGGGAGGGGGCACAACTGCCCCAATGCCCCGATATTTCAAAATCCAGTTAGCATATCTTAAGCTATGGTCACAAATCAGAGCAGCGACCGACCGATCAGTAGCCTGCTCGGTCGCTGCTGGAATTAGGCATCGCCCAGCGATTACGTCGGTGCCCGGTCAGCGACCGCCCAGGCACCGAGCGTATTTTCGGCGGCGACTGAAAAGTGAGCAGGCGCCGCCCAAATTTTAACTCCGCGCTAAAAGTTCAGCGGCGACCGAGCGATGCCCTAAAAACGAGCGGCGCCTGGGCGGCCGCCGCTCGGTGGCCGGGCAGCCGCCGGGCAGAATTGGTTAAAAACTCGCCGCTCGGGCCGCCGACCAGGCTACTTTTGGGTTATGTGACCATAGCATTACATTTGCAACAAAAAGTGTACAACCCCTCAAAAAAAAATTCTTCAGGATTGTCGCCCCCTCCCTCCTACAAAATCTTAACCTTTATCTTTATCAAAATAATGTCTCTAGCCCAGCCATTAGGGCCTATAACAATGGGTCTGGTAAAATTACCTTGTCTATACTTGGACCACAATAAAATCAATAAACCGCTAACTTAAAAGTTAAAAGTGATGTCACAATGTAAGCTTAAATAACAGCTTATATCCTAGTCATATTGCCAAACTGACTCCTAAAACTGGACTATGGAAAACGTATAACCCCATGTTTGGTCTATAGTCTGTTTGGTCTCACTGGAGCAGTTGGGGTATTAATAAATACATTTATTATGATACCCTTATTATCAAGGTTTTAAAACAATGAAAAAAGAAACATAACAAGTGAAAACAGGGATTCAATAGCAAATCTAAATTTCCATAACTATCGAATGAACTATATACAATCCATATCTACATATTACCATCTGTACAGCCGTATACATGTATGACATAACAAGGCACACTTTACAGAGAAAGTTCAGTTCTGGGAAGAGGTGAAAAATAATTTGTGAGTATTATCATTGTATTTGCAAGTGTGGAAGTACATCAGATAAAATGTTCCCTGAAAAGCATGGCTCTTCAAATTCCTTAATATTCTAAATATGGCATGTAACATCATAAAAATCAGGGCAGATTTTTATGCCATGTTTGTGTAGTCCCATATACATCTTTCTGTGTACAGTGCTTGCAACTTTACCATGACTGGACCCAATTTCTTATCATTTTGATGATTGCAGTACAATTCTTATATGATAGATGATCAAACTTTTCTGATCGATTCCACAGTTTCTTTCACAATGCAATCGCATGACCAGAACTCAACTTCATCTTTAAAATTATTCAATACTAAAGACAAAGAAATCTGAAGACAAACACTTCTGTGAATCTTACAAAAAAATCCACATGGGCTAGTTATGGGTATTCTCTCAAAGTCAATTTTGATCTGTCAAGCTCACCGAGTGTGTTGTGTATTCACAAAGAGCATGTGAATGCTTTATCCAAATGGATTATGTAATGTGCTTCAGTATATACATTCAAACCTAGATTTCGTGTTGTCGCGGGCAGCGTTGCCTGCGAGTTCCAAGATTTCGGCAGTGAGGTACTCTAGGCCACCTCTCTATAGCTGCCATGTATTTTTTCACTCTCTAGAAATAAAATTGTGTGGTATTACCTCATCTGTCTACAATGGCCAGATTTTTTCTGTTTCCCTTGGGTGACCAAAATAGGCAGGTTAGACTGTTTTTGTGTGAATGAGGCACAAAAACGACTAGGGTAAGAACCTTCATCTAATGAGAACATGTTTAGAATCGATGGATGGTATTCTTGAAAGCGGACTAACTTTAGTCCACGGTTTAATCCATTGACTAAGTATGGAATGCCAAGTGTCCATATGAATATATTTTTGAATAATTTGATGTGTCCTAAATTACCATGATAACATAATTATATCATAGTTACATTGTTGTTTAATTAATTATGTTAATACATTTTATTTTAATTAAGTGACAGATTAAATTATTCAAAAACATATTCATATGGACACTTGGTATTCCATATTTAGTTGGTGGATTGGACTAAAGTTAGTCCACTTTGGGGAATACCACTCAATGACTTTTGATCATATGATCTACAAGGTGTCCACTCTGTGAGAAACACATCTTACATTCATAGCACTCGTAAGGTTTCTCACCAGTATGTATCCTGAGGTGGATGTTGGCGGCGCTCTTGTCCGTGAACTGCTTCTGACAGACGTTGCATTCGTAGCGCTTGATGCCCTTGTGGGTGTTCATGTGCCGCTTCATAGAGCTTCGGTCCCTGAACTGCCTCCCGCAGTCCTCACACGTATATGGCTTCTCTCCCGTATGGATGGTGGAATGGCTGACGAGGTAAGCTTTCCTGGAGAAGCGCTTCTGGCAGACGTCGCACTCGTAGCGCTTCTCTTCGTCATGGATGGCACCGTGTTTCTGGAGTGTCTTCTTTGTCTTGAAGAACTTCTCGCAGACCTCACACTGGAATTCCTTGTTCTCGGTGGTGACAACGTCTTCCTGGAGGACCACCTCTGTGACCTTGTCCATCATGACCTGGGCGGCCATCATGGTCTGAGCCAGAGCTTGAGAGGCAACGCGTTGTTCCGCTTCATGCTCCACCAAGTGAGCTGTCAGGTTCTCCTGTCCAAAGATTTCCTTGCTACATACCCCACACTCAATCATGGACTTTTTGCGATGGGTCTTGGCATGCTGCCTCATGTTGGTGGCCGTCCAGAACATCTTCCCGCAGAACTCGCAGGAGTGCGACTTCTGCCCTGTGTGCATCTTAACATGAGAGTTGAGGGCGCTTTTGTCTGCAAAGGCTCGGTCGCAGGTCTCGCACTTGTAGGGCTTCAGGCCAGAATGGATGATCTTGTGCCTTCGGAGAGTACCCGGCTCGGTGAAAGCTTTGTGGCATGTCTCGCACTCGTAGGGTTTCTCTCCCGTGTGCACACGGACGTGGTTGATAAGACGAGGTTTCGTTGGGAAGGCCTTGCCACAAAGAGTACAGCAGAAGGGTTTCTCGCCTGTATGAATCCTATTGTGGGTTTGGTAACTGGCACGGGTCTTCAGGACTTTGTTGCAGATGGTGCAGGTGAAGGATCTCTCTGGAGGCTTCTTTGGCTTGATGCCCTGGTGGAGCTTCATGTGGGCATTCAGGAAGTTCTTCCGTACAAACTTCCGAGGGCAAAGCTCACACGCAAATGGCCTGTCTCCTGCGTGCATCCGCCTATGTAGGTTCAGGTATGACTTGTCACGGAAGGACTTTCCACACAGATCACACAAGAAGGGCTTTGCTCCAGTGTGAATGGATTTGTGCCTACGCAAGGAAGTCATGTCGGAGAACTTCTTCTCGCAGAGCGTGCAGCCAAAGGGCTTCTCACCCGTGTGAACTCTTCTGTGACGTTCTAGATAAGCCTTCTGGGCAAAGCTGTTGTTGCATATGTCACACTTGAACGTCTCAACCACTTTCTTAGGTCTGGAAACCTTGACCGATATAGGAACGTAGTCATCATCTTCATTCTCCAGTTCCTTATGGGTCAGCTTGTGTTCCTTCAGCTCCTCTTTCGCTTCAAACTCCACTTGACAGACGCGACATTTGAACACCCTCTTGACGTTGGGGATGATAACTGGACCATCTTCAGAGCTAACAACCTCTCCCTCAGCCTCATTACCCTCTTCCATCTTGATCTTGTGTACCTTCTTCTGGTGCTGGGTTCGCTGACCCTTCTGTCTGAAACTCTTATCGCAGAAGGCACATTTGAAAGGCTTCTCTGCCGAGTGCACCCTCATGTGTGAGGCACACGCACTTTGGTCACTGAAAGCCTTATCACAAAAGCCACAGTTGTAAGGTTTCTGTCCGGTGTGTATCCGTTCATGCCTCCTGAGGGACTTCAAATTGTAAAAGGTTTTATCACACACCGAGCACTTCGGTCCTTGACCCGTGTGCAGTTTCCGGTGATATTTAAGGCTGATGGGCGTTGAGAAAACTTTGTTGCATACTTCACATGCATAGACCTTTCCTCTCTCGTGTTTCTTGCGATGGATGGTGAAGGTACGCAGATTGGGAAACTTCTGCTCACATATAGGGCACTTAAAGACTTTAGATTTCTTGACACCATCGGTCACTTCATCTTCTTTATCAGCCTTGTTCACAAACTCAGCGTGAGTCTCCATGTGTTTCTCCCGCTCGTACTTGTAAATGAATGAGTCAGTGCAGAAGGGGCAGGTGAATTTCTTTCCACATTTCCCAGACTTTTTATGCTTTTCGAGACCACTTGGGCTGAGGAATGCTTTGGAGCAACTCTCGCAACGCAGGAGATTTTCTTCCTTGTGGTCCTGCCCTCCGTGGGTGAGACGATGGGTCCTCATCTGGAAGCCGGTATAGAACTTCTTCAGGCAGACGTCGCATTCCACCTGCTTGTCACCTGCATGACGTTTCTTGTGGCTCTTCAACGAGGAGCCATCGCTGAATCTCATATCACACAGATCGCATCTGTACGGCTTGGTGCCTTTGTGGATGATGGTGTGTCGCCTCAGGGCGCCGTGGCTCTTGAAGGTCTTGTCACACTCAGTGCATTGATAAGGACGCTGTCCCGTGTGGGTATTGAGATGTTCCTTGAGGATCCAGGATGTCCTGAAGGTCTTGGAGCAATACGTACAATCCCAGGACGCATGTGTGGATTCATGCCTTGTCAGCTGACGCACGCTCACAAACGATTTCTTGCAAACAGGGCAATGTTTACTCTTATCGTTGCCTCCCTTCTCCTCAATCATGGCATCCTCTTCTGTCTTTGCATCCTCCTCCTCCTCCTCACTGCTTTCAGACTGTGGTTCCTCTTCAACCGTTATGTGCAGCATTCTCTGATGCATCTTCAGACCTCTTAGTGAAGCAAACGATCGGGAGCACCTGTCACAATCAAACTTGGATCCTTTCTTCTTCGCTGCTAACGGTTCCTCCCAGTCGCTATCATCAGGGTCATTCCCTCCATCTCCAACATCGTCATCATCCTCGTCATCATCCACAATCTGTAACTGTTTCTGACCTTTGGAGGGTAATGCAGGGACTTTCCCTTCATCGACTTCCTTCATGCTCATCCTCTCGCTCAGGTCTTCCTTCTCGTGCACAACCATGTGGAAGGTGAGGTAGCTCTTCTTGGTGAACGTGGAGCCACAGACATCACACATGAACATGGTCACCTGACTGTGCATCTTCATATGCCTCTGCAGAAGTGCCTCATCTTCAAAGCACGCCCCACACTCGTCGCACTTCGCGAGGGAGTGCTTCTGTCGCATATGCTTCAGGCGCTGGCCGTCCGTCTCAAAGAACTTGCTGCAGTAGCGACACAGGTAGGGCGAATGCTCCCTGGCGTGAGACTTCTCATGGGCGCGGTGCTGGCGCTCGGTCCGGAACTCTCGCCAGCAGTAATGGCAGATTTGTTTGGGCGAGTCTGGGGTCTTAACTGCAATTTTTACATACGCTTTCCTAGGGGTAGTACTTGACGCCGCGGCCTCAATGATCTTCACACTGGAATCACTGTCTGGTATTTCTGCAAAGCAATAGATGATAATTTAAATCCATTAAATATCTTCTTTCACAGTGTTTCACTAACGTCATATTTATTAATATGAATTTATAAATTTTAAGAAATCCATTATTGATGTAATGTTAAACAAATTTGGCGGGCATCAGACTGGTCTATAGCATTCAAACTTCAACTTGACAATTTTAACTTTAATTTTAATATATTGGGAAGTTTTTTTTCAAGGAAGAAATGTTTAGGTCTTATCTGAAACAATGGATTATACTCAACATTTAAACTTTGCACTTCACTTAAGATAGATCAATGATGGGAATTCATAATCATAAGCCTAGTCTCATAATAAGGATTAACTGTCAGTTTCTTTAAAAAACATCATTACTTGGAAATGTCAAAGTTTACCTTGAACTTCTAGAGAGCTTGACCTTGGCTCTGCATTGGTTTGAGGTTGGTCTTCAGGAATCATGGTATCTGCGCTCTGATTGGTCATCTCAGACGCCAGTATGACAGGATCTGCATTCTCATTGGTCAACCCAGCTTCTGGTGTCATGGTATCTGCGCTCTGATTGGTCATCTCAGACACAAGTATGACAGGATCTGCATTCTCATTGGTCAACCCAGCTTCTGGTGTCATGGTATCTGCGCTCTGATTGGTCATCTCAGACACCAGTATGACAGGATCTGCATTCTCATCGGTCAACTCAGCTTCTGGTGTCATGGTATCTGCACTCTCATTGGTCAACTCGGTTTCAAGCATGACAGTATCCACGCCCTGATTGGTTGGTTGTGCATCTTCACCCATTGTTTCTAAATTGAGATTGGTCGACTCTGCTTGGGGAAGTGACGAATCAGGGAAAGTGGACGAATGTCTCCCAACAATCTGAACAAAGCTTTCTGTATGGGTTGATGAAAGATAAGAGAGAGAGAGAGCGTGAGACATTATAGCCTCATTCATACATGTATATGATGTAATGTAATGATATAAGTATCATATACTCCACGTTTCAGTATCTAATAACATACCAAAGAGCTTTGTGAATACACATGGGACCATTGTTGCGCAGTTGCGTTTCATTTACACGCTTAAAAAAACTGCCACTTTTGTTGCCTTTACTTACTTTTTTGCAACCTTTGTTGGGCAGTTGCCCTTCATTTTCATGTTTCAGAGAGAAATACATGGGCAAACATGCAAATAGAGAGAGACAAAATAAGACGCACTTTAATAGAGAGAGGGATAAAGACATGGAGAGAGAGAGAACAAAAAGAGAGAGAAAGAGAGAATAACAGATGTAAATGTACTTTTCAAAGTCTGACAGGAAAGAGACTTAGAAGCGGTATACAACAGAAATATGCTTTAAAAGCAGAGAGACAAAATGTTACTAAGTCACTTTAAAGGGATTGGGATTCTGAAACAAAATCCTGGATTTAGCTCATGCAGCAATGACAATTATAAACTTTTAGGTCAGTCAGGAACCCCATGACTTTTACAAGCCTGTCTGATTATCAAGATATTTATGATTGGAAATCGAAATAAAATTTTGCGTTTTCCTAACGGTTTTCATAACACTACCGTCTATTGGGGAAAATGGGTATGGTAAAACCGGTCACTAAAAAGATTTGTACTTTTTTGAGGCATTTCATGATCGTTTGAAGCGCAATTTTTTGTAGGGCTCCAATATTACACCATATTGCAGACACTGACAACAAGTAGTGCCATGCATCTCAGATATAACATTGTTAAACGATGCCTTAAGCAGAGAGATATAGAGAGACAGGTGAGACAGAAATGTGAAGCAGTGCTGTAACATCACGGATATCTCCAATTCCGTTTAACCGCCAGTCAAAACCGGACGGTTTTCGGTTAAACGATTAAAAAAAAAAAAAAAAAAAAAAGTTGTTTTGTTTTTGTTTTTTTTTGGACCAATTTTTTTTTTTTGACCGACTCTGTCGGCAGCCACCCAGGTCCGTGTGAAAAAGCGGGAAGGGCTTTCATTTAAGTGCAAGGTGCATTTGAAGGCGCCGATTTGTGCTTGTGAACTAGTCACAAATAATAGTAACAATGTCGTTTTTAGAAGGATGTGTAAGATCATGAATGAAAATTAAAAACAGTAGAGGACCTAGGATAGAACCTTGTGGTACGCCGTGTGTAAAAGTTGGATGAATTATTATTATAAACTACATATTGAGATCTATTACAAAGATTACTTTCAAACCAAGATGACAGACAAATTGGAGTGTTGTTCTAGTTTTGGAGTGGTGAGTCAACACACAGATTACTGAACTGGAAGACATTGCCAGGCATAGTGCCGGCTGGAGGGGCATAAATCGAAACTTTAAAAAAAAAAAAAAAAAAAAAGGGAAAACGAAACCGTCCAATTGGAAACGGAATCCGCCATGGGCGGTCGGATACCGGACGGTTAAACGTTTGACTACAGCACTAATATGAAGCCATCTTTTTTCCAGGGTGTTTGTTTTTTAAAGGCCGGCTGTACTAGTTTGGCCAGGGGGGATTGGACCACATAGCGTGGTCAATGACAGGTGGCTATCTCATCAACTCAGCTCTCAATTAATATAAGAAAAAGAGGATCATGGGGGACCAATGGTCACCGATAAGAGAATGTTTTCTATATAGAGGGAGCAAGTAGCTACAAGTAGGACAGTGGGGCTGTAAATGTGGTTGGCCATATTGTGCAGGAATGAGACCTACCTGAAGGATGGCTGGCAGGGTCATGAGGAAGCTCTTCTTGGACCCCCATCTCACGAGGAAGCTCTTCTTGGACCCCCATCTCATGAGGAAGCTCTTCTTGGACCCCCATCTCACTGCTCTCTTGCTCTACCGGTATCTGTACATAGATGCTCTCTGATCCTTCCATTGGATGCAGTACCTGACCTGGAGCAGAGAAGATATCAATAAGTTCATCTTTCATTATCCAGGGTAGCAAATTAGGCAATCAGTATTAATCTACATCTGCCACTCAATACCCAGGAGAGAAATGGGGACCTGGTAGGATGACTGTGTTACCGCAAGGAAAAGGCGCTATAATATCTTTTGGATTGGATCCTTGTTTGTAACCGCAAGGAAAAGGCGCTATATCAATTATCTTTTGGATTGGATTGGATGACAAAAAGAATTTGTGTTGGTACATGTAATTGCCTAGGCCCTCATGGTCACCATATGGCAGGAAACTCCCCAGGGAGTGGAGATTGAGTTCACATAGTGCATGAATGAATCCAATGACCAGGGTAATAATATCTGCAAAGGGCTTAGAGAGGGCATTTCATATTATACAAACAATGAATGTTTATGAGTTCAATTAAAGTAGATCTAATAGAAAGTTAATCTTTCAACAAATTAAGCTTTGCTCCTTTATATATATCAGTAATAGATTCAATTTGGAGTCAGGCCTTCTCGATTACATTCAGTTTGCTTTTGTGTCAGATGCGCGCAGCTAAGACAATGAAAACAATTGGATATGCGTAGGGCAGAGAGGTACGCAGTCTAAATATAACCAAAAATGCACGCTAGATAGTGCAAAAATGCACGGCGAATATGATCATAAATGCATGGTCGTTCAATAGATTATTCATTGAATATCATGTGACCAACAATCCTCCAAACAAATGACAAGGATCTATATAATAAGCACTATTTAAATTCAGAATGTTATTATTACCCATTTAGCACCCCTGGGTTGTGAGGGGGCAGATGTAAACTTAGCACCTGGGTGGAGAGGAGCAATGTACATAAAATGCCTTACTCAAAGAGATAATGATGTGCCCCTCATTGCGACCCTGGCTAATCTGGACCCTGTCTTATAAAGAGTTGATATTAAAGGTATTACAAAGTTTTGGGAAATTTTGAAAAATGGGTGGATAGTGATTCTTTACAATTTTAATATATTTGGATGCCCCTGTGGATGTATTAAAAACACCAGAAATTTTAGCCCCTAAAACACTTCTGTTTTCGAGAAAAATTGAATATAAACATTTACCGGTGCTCCCGGTAAATTTTGATAAATTTCAAATAGCTCCTACGGCCGTACAATGGTAGCTGCGACCATGAAAATCTCAGAGTATGTAGTTGTGGTATATAATTTCCGAACGAGAATAGCTAATCAATCAATTTTAGTCATAAACATTGTTTTATAGCTTAATTAATATCTTGACCTTGAGAGGGAGCTATTCAACATAAAGTGTTTATTATTTACAATTTCATAACTTTAGAGTCGATTTCGACCACTACAACGATCACTGAATGTTGTAGGATTGTATATGCTTCCAATATATGTTCATTTGAACCAAATTCATGACCCCATACCAAAACTTTGTATTATCTTTATAAGACGGGTCTCTGTGTCCTTTTCAGAAATTAAGTAAGCCTGAGCCCTGTTTTATAAAGAGATGCAACTGATTCAAATCAATCGCAAGTATGCAATTTCCTACCTCTTATGTACCTGTACATAAGATGCGATTAATTGCAACTGTTCATATGATGGGGCCTAGGAGAATACATGTTTCATTCAACTTTCTATTTGCCACCAAAATGACTGTTCATCATAATAAATGCTAATGTCCAACACTTACCTTCCTCAGTAAAAGCCAAGTTGACCGAGATGACAGGTTGACCGTTCTCATCTAGATGTTGGGTCACATGACGTCCATCCTCAGACGCTATGTCCATCACCTGACCATCATGGCTGATGATCTGAAACGTGGTGTTTCCTGGGTAGTTAATATAAACACAGAAAAAAAAACAGATAAATAAATAAACAAATAAAATACCGGTAGATAAATTCATCTTCCCATGCTGGAATATATGTACATGTAGGTAGTGTTCCTTGATAAAAAGACAGTGAAAATGTTGTTCACATTACCTGACCAGCTTTGAACAAAAAAAGAGTAGTGAGCGATGAAGCTTGGGAAGGCTAAAAAAAGCACTTGGACTCTAAAAAGAAATCATAAGCCAAAGACATAACAGTGGAGGGAACTTGCCGATTAATGTCCACTACTAGTCCTCCCCCAAAATATCAAAAAGATCCTAGATCTAGTCTATCCTCGTCAAAAATAGAGAATGCAATGGAACCTGTTCATCTAGCTCCACCTGACCTTGTCCTATTATGACCTCCTCCTTTCCCTTCCTTCCTCTCCACCTCCTTCTCCTCCCCATCTCCCTTTCCAATGAGTGACCTTACCGTGTGGTTCTCCTGCCAGGGCGTTCATAATGATCCCTGCCTCTCTATCCACCTGTTCATCAAACTCCACCTGACCTCCTCCTCCAACCTTCCCTCTCCTTCTTTCCTCTCCTCCTTTCCCTTCCCTTCTCTTCTCCCCCTCCCTCCTCCTCCCCCTTCCTTTCTAATGAGTGACCTTACCATGTGGTTCTCCTGCCAGGGCGTTCATGATGGTCACAGCCTCTCTATCCCCCTGTTCATCTAGCTCCACCTGACCTTGTTCCACCATGACCTCCTCCTCCAACCCTCCCTCTCACCCTTTCCCTTCCTTCCTCTCCCCCCTTTCTCCATCTCCATTACTTTCTAATGAGTGACCTTACAGTGTGGTACTCCTGCCAGGGCGTTCATGATGATCACTGCCTCTCTATCCACCTCATGACCTGTTCATCAAGCTCCACCTGACCTCCTCCTCCAACCCTCCCTCTCATCCTTCTCTCCCCCCCCCCCCCCCCCCCCCCCCCCCCCCCCCCCCGTCTCCCTTTCCTTTTCCATCTTCCTTTCCAATGAGTGACCTTACCGTGTGGTTCTCCTGCCAGGGCGTTCATGATGATCACTGCCTCTCTATCCACCTGTTCATCTAGCTCCACCTGACCTTGTTCCATCATGACCTCCTCCTCCAACCCTCCCTCTCATCCTTCCTCTCTCCCTCATTTTCCTTCCCTTCTCCCCCCGTCTCCCCTTTCCTTTTCCATCTTCCCTTCTAATGAGTGACCTTACCATGTGGTTCCCCTGCCAAGGCGTTCATGATGATCACAGCCTCTCTATCCACCTGTTCATCTAGCTCCACCTGACCTTGTTCCATCATGACCTCCTCCTCCAACCCTCCCTCTCATCCTTTCCCTTCCTTCCTCTCCCCCTCCTTCTCCTCCCTATCTCCTCTTCTCCTCCCTTCCTCCATCTCCATTACTTTCCAATGAGCGACCTTACCATGTGGTTCTCCTGCCAGGGCGTTCATGATGATCACTGCCTCTCTATCCACCTGTTCATCAAGCTCCACCTGACCTTGCTCCATCATGACCTCCTCCTCCAACCCTCCCTCTCATCCTTTCCCTTCCTTCCTCTCCCCCTCCTTCTCCTCCCTATCTCCTCTTCTCCTCCCTTCCTCCATCTCCATTACTTTCCAATGAGCGACCTTACCATGTGGTTCTCCTGCCAGGGCGTTCATGATGATCACTGCCTCTCTATCCACCTGTTCATCTAGCTCCACCTGACCTTGTTCCATCATGACCTCCTCCTCCAACCCTCCCTCTCATCCTTCCTCTCTCCCTCATTTTCCTTCCCTTCTCCCCCCGTCTCCCCTTTCCTTTTCCATCTTCCCTTCTAATGAGTGACCTTACCATGTGGTTCCCCTGCCAAGGCGTTCATGATGATCACAGCCTCTCTATCCACCTGTTCATCTAGCTCCACCTGACCTTGTTCCATCATGACCTCCTCCTCCAACCCTCCCTCTCTACTTTCCCTTCCTTCCTCTCCCCCTCCTTCTCCTCCCTATCTCCTCTTCTCCTCCCTTCCTCCATCTCCATTACTTTCCAATGAGCGACCTTACCATGTGGTTCTCCTGCCAGGGCGTTCATGATGATCACTGCCTCTCTATCCACCTGTTCATCAAGCTCCACCTGACCTTGCTCCATCATGACCTCCTCCTCCAACCCTCCCTCTCATCCTTTCCCTTCCTTCCTCTCCCCCTCCTTCTCCTCCCTATCTCCTCTTCTCCTCCCTTCCTCCATCTCCATTACTTTCCAATGAGCGACCTTACCATGTGGTTCTCCTGCCAGGGCGTTCATGATGATCACTGCCTCTCTATCCACCTGTTCATCTAGCTCCACCTGACCTTGTTCCATCATGACCTCCTCCTCCAACCCTCCCTCTCATCCTTCCTCTCTCCCTCATTTTCCTTCCCTTCTCCCCCCGTCTCCCCTTTCCTTTTCCATCTTCCCTTCTAATGAGTGACCTTACCATGTGGTTCCCCTGCCAAGGCGTTCATGATGATCACAGCCTCTCTATCCACCTGTTCATCTAGCTCCACCTGACCTTGTTCCATCATGACCTCCTCCTCCAACCCTCCCTCTCTACTTTCCCTTCCTTCCTCTCCCCCTCCTTCTCCTCCCTATCTCCTCTTCTCCTCCCTTCCTCCATCTCCATTACTTTCCAATGAGCGACCTTACCATGTGGTTCTCCTGCCAGGGCGTTCATGATGATCACTGCCTCTCTATCCACCTGTTCATCAAGCTCCACCTGACCTTGCTCCATCATGACCTCCTCCTCCAACCCTCCCTCTCATCCTTTCCCTTCCTTCCTCTCCCCCTCCTTCTCCTCCCTATCTCCTCTTCTCCTCCCTTCCTCCATCTCCATTACTTTCCAATGAGCGACCTTACCATGTGGTTCTCCTGCCAGGGCGTTCATGATGATCACTGCCTCTCTATCCACCTGTTCATCTAGCTCCACCTGACCTTGTTCCATCATGACCTCCTCCTCCAACCCTCCCTCTCATCCTTCCTCTCTCCCTCATTTTCCTTCCCTTCTCCCCCCGTCTCCCCTTTCCTTTTCCATCTTCCCTTCTAATGAGTGACCTTACCATGTGGTTCCCCTGCCAAGGCGTTCATGATGATCACAGCCTCTCTATCCACCTGTTCATCTAGCTCCACCTGACCTTGTTCCATCATGACCTCCTCCTCCAACCCTCCCTCTCTACTTTCCCTTCCTTCCTCTCCCCCTCCTTCTCCTCCCTATCTCCTCTTCTCCTCCCTTCCTCCATCTCCATTACTTTCCAATGAGCGACCTTACCATGTGGTTCTCCTGCCAGGGCGTTCATGATGATCACTGCCTCTCTATCCACCTGTTCATCAAGCTCCACCTGACCTTGCTCCATCATGACCTCCTCCTCCAACCCTCCCTCTCATCCTTTCCCTTCCTTCCTCTCCCCCTCCTTCTCCTCCCTATCTCCTCTTCTCCTCCCTTCCTCCATCTCCATTACTTTCCAATGAGCGACCTTACCATGTGGTTCTCCTGCCAGGGCGTTCATGATGATCACTGCCTCTCTATCCACCTGTTCATCTAGCTCCACCTGACCTTGCTCCATCATGACCTCCTCTTCCTCCTCCATCTTTCAACCTACAAATACATTACAGGTCAAACAAAGGTCAGAGGTCAATCAAAGTAACACCTGTGAGATTCTGACACCAACGTTGCAGCACGACATAACTAGTAGGAGCATTGGTCCGAGAATAAGGATCGTTTTCGTAAACGCGGACCAATGCGTCCTCAAAAATAAGGATCATCCGCATTTTCGCAGACGTTTCATATTTTTGCTCGATGCAAGATGCAAAAAACGGATTCCCCAATGATTTTCTTCACGCATTTTATATTGACTTTGTACAGAGACTTTCACATTATGAGCGATAAATCCTTGGGAAGACGGACAACCCATGAAAGTAGATGGTTAACTAGGGTTATTTTCACACGGGGAATCCATTTTTCGCATTGAAGCCTGCAGGGCGCCGATGAAAAAAACGTCCGCGAAAATGCGGACAATCCTTATTTTTGAGGACGCATTTTGTCTGTGTTTACAAGGATATAGAGTAGTGGCTCCGGTCTGCGGCCGATCGGCGGGAACTGCCGATTCTATTTTTATGCAAATACTCACAGAATACTTCAATACCCTCAATAAAGAGTCCATATACTTTAATACTTATTAAATAGAAGTCACAAATAACCGAACTGACCCACAGCGTAGTCAGCATTGACCACGTTTCGAAATGCTTCGAGTTCCCCGGTTTGCGGGCACGCATTACCGGTTTGCGGCACGCGTACGTCACAAAGCTTTATGCGCTACGTCACGATCAAAGCATGTACCAAATTACTACGGGTAACCCAAATTCTCATGTTTATCTGTTGCTACGGTAAATTTGTCAAGTTTTAAACAATTTCACCTTTTCCTCGAATGGATCATCCAATACGGGGGTACGTACTACTAGGAACTATCGGGTCATAGCGGGTACACACATCAGCACACATACCATCATACACGATCCTGCATGTTATGTGTGTATTAACACCCCCCGCCGCAAACCAGAAAAACACGTAATTACGTGCCGGTTTGCGGCCACCCCATGCAACTGGCCATGCGGTGGCACAATCAAAATATCTGCGATAGGAGACAGACCACAGCCATCATACTTCCACAAAAACATCAAATTTCACCTCCAATCGGACAAATATCGGACAAATAGAGCTACAATATTGATCTAGTCATGCCTCGATCTCTTAACTTAAAAGTTAGCACCTGCTGGAATTTTCATCGGCGACTGGTGCCGTAGATTTCCGACATCGCTGACGGAAACTCTGTACTGACAGGAGGACCTGCTACGGACGTTTTCGGCAAAGCAGAACTTACCGGGGAATCCACGGTAGGTTTCAATGATTATTATCGAGTCATATTCATTTTATTTTTAAAACAAATACCCCTGGCCGCAAACCGGGCGATGCCGCAAACCGGAGACCCTACTCTATCCTCGTTTATGACGATCCTCATTCTCAGACCAGCGTCCCTCTTGATAAGCAATCAATGACAGTGTTATACAACACAACATCGTCATAACCAACAACAAAAAAATGATATTAAAATCAAATAATTTTGAATTTAATTCATTTGCCCTCAAGACAGTCAAGTCAAGAACTTCAAAATTAACAACAGGGTCTCAAATAAATTTTAAAAAGGCCAAGGTTTAGATCTAGTAATAATATGCCAAAACATTACCTCATATATCTCTCTATCATACTTGTCGATCAATTTCAAACTGAATATAGGGTCTAGTCTACAAAACTACACATTGATAAGTTTGTAGGCCTATTCAAAAAGTCATCAATTTAAAGAAAAGACACAGAAAGCTACGTGTGGGACCATGTACTGCCCGAATAGCGTTTTGTGCACAGACACTGCACAGTGCAGATTATGCGACAGGGCCGGGTACAGTCATTGTTTAACATCATTTGAACGAGTAATAAAGTAAGTAAGTAAGTGAACACGCGAAGCACGTATAATTACCTTTTCTTAAGATCCTCAAGGTTCAAAATTATAGTCAGAGAGGCAGAAATGATGTAAAAATATCTTAAATTTTGACCATCAACAGACGTCAAGATACCGCTTTTGTCGTCGGACTAACGGTAACATTTTGTCATTTCGACGTAGAGGGCGACATTAAAATAGCGCGTCATATCGCCTATTATGCATTCACCATGCAAACATTTTGTTTTTATTTTGGGTATGAGAGTTCTACAGACAAATAAAATGTATTTTGCTATATGTTTGTTTCTTGTTTTTGTGTTCTGCAGTTGTATAAAGATCAATGGATGTACAAAGACCGTGGCATGGGGGAGGGTGCACGCCCAGCGTTATCCTAGTATTAAAAAAGTGCACCGGCCATTGCAGCCCGCAGCAAATGAACGAAGACCTAATATAATATCATAAGCATATGACAATGCAAAGCACCTGAACAAATTATGGTAATCATTCAAATGTAAATGACTGCATGTAAATATCAAACGTAGATGCAGAATCGTACATGATATAAAATGAGAAGGGTACAACCTAGGCCTCTATATTGTTTTAATATCCATTTGGCGTTTTGAGTTGAAGTGCATGGTGTCAAAAGGGATAACGCATGATATTGTAAGCGGAGAAGAAAAGGACCCCCTTTATTGTATTGCAAACTTTCAAAAACATCTTCAACAAACTAAGACCCTTTGCTTATAAAAACGGGTCCAAGATGTATTCCAAATGTAACCAAACTTTTGGCTTATCGACACAAATTAAGAAAACGTGCACTATTTTCGCGATATTTGCCTGATACTGAATGTATTATACGAGTCGTAGGTGCCATTTTTAAATACGTTTGATCCCTTTTGCGTTAAATTCATTTCTTGCTCTTTCAAACAAACAAATATCGCGAACATCCCCAAAAGTTCTAATTATCATGAACTCAATATAAAAGTGGATTCAGCATACAATGATGAACAAAGTCAGAGATAGAAAATTTTGAGAAGAGGGGAGAGACAACTGTCGACAGTTGGCACACGAGGCATTAATTTTGTTTTCCCGGCCAAATACCCCTCTCGGCTCATCAGGAAAAAAAGATGTACATAATTTATTTTACGATTACCGCCCTTAGCTTTCTTGCAGAGTTTTATTTAAAAAGAAGAAGATATCAGTGAAAAGGGGATCTGTGAAATGTTATTCCACCCCCTTAATTCTCTGTCTGTCTCGCTCTCCTTCGCTCTCTGAATCGGTCTACTATCTCCCTGTCTTCTCTTTATCTACTTAGCTTTCTACCTAAATATGTTTATCTTTTAATCCACATTTTCCTCATTTGTTCAGATCACCCCTCCACCCAAAAATAAAATCATTCTCTTCCTCTCTATCTTTCTCTCCCCTTTCTCTCTTACTCTCTTCCCCCTCATTCTCTCTTTACCCTCTCTCTTTCTTTCTCTTTCCCCCTCTCTCTCTCTCTCTTTGATTTAACCCATTCTCTTCTCCCTCTCTCTTCATCTCCCCCTCTCTTCAAAAATGTTTCTCCAAATCTCTCTAGACTTGTACTTTCCCCTCTCTCTTTCTTCCTCTCCCCTCCCTCTTGTTTTCGTTCTCTCTTTTTTAATCCCCTCTCCTCTTTCTCTTTCTTTTTCTTATCTCATCTTCTCTTCTTTCTCTCATTTACTTCTTAACTTTGTCCCCTCTCTCTTCTTTCATCATCTTCCTTTCCTCCCTTTCTCTCTATCCTCTTTCTTTCTTTCTGTTTTTCATCTTCCTCCCTTCTCTGGTTCTATGTTTACATTTTATCTAAATATCATTCTCTTTCTCTTTGATTCGCGGTTTATTTCATTCTAAATTTTTCTCGCTCGCTCTCTCTCTCTCTCTCTCTCTCTCTCTCCTCTATTACCTATTCTATTATTTTACTTCTTTATTGCTTAATTTGTGATTTCGGTATAAATATTAACAAAATTAATACTCAAATAAGATCACGAATATCTGAATCATAATTAGCGTCCTGTCAACCAGTTTTATTACCGAAAAAAACTTATATCTTTCATTGTTAATGCAAAAAAGAAGAAGAAGTTATATATATATTATATCCAATCACAGTATCATGATAATAAATTACAGTGGGAGAGTTATTAAAATATAAACTTCTTAACAGAATATTCGGAAAGAAATTACAAACCATTTTGAATGATGCGAGAGAATTAGTGTTTTTTTCCACCGACTCCTTTCAAAAATATTGTGAGAAAAGGTAAACAATTTACATGCATTGGGTAATTCAGTGCAATGTGTCCCATATAATACCACATATGACATTTATCTATATTTTTCAGCGATGCATGTAAAACACCTTGATATTTTTAGAAGTGATAGCAGAAAGCACCATTATTTAACGGTTATATAAATAACTTCTTGATTTTGGGATGAATTTTATGTGAAGACAAACAAAAGTTCTCACATTCCTGCATTTCCATAATTTTATTAAACGAATTCGTTTTCACTGGCTGCCTGCTAATAACAAACTCTGTTTCGTTGAAGATCAGCCATCCATGAAGTCTTTCGTCTTCTTTGTTGTTAGGGCAGGCAGCCAGTGGAACAGATTACAAATAAAAAAATATGAAAATGCAAGCGTTACTTTAAACAAACAGAAATTTGTTATTCCTTGCTCATTTTTCCCTGATTGAGGTGTCATATGAAAGGGCAGAAAATGAAATTTCTGGAAATGTGATTTCTCTTTGAAATTCAGATACCGTTCGCCAAACGACTTTTTGGTACTCTTTCTTCAAATTGTTTTAATCACTCATGCGTGAAATATGCATCACAATAGTGGCAGCAAATGAAAGAGGAGGGTCTAAGCTTTACAAATATGTGTAATTTATTAATTATAATTGTGATTGAGCTATAATAAACACATCGATAATTCTCGGTTTTGTTTTTTCTGAGACACACTGTATAACGGCTGCCTGAAGCTAAAAGCTTGGGTAACCATTTCCAAAGCCTTTTGAAGCGCATCTAGGGACGTTTATATCGTAATATGTTATGCACTATACAAGAACGGATTATCATTATTATTATCTTATAAATGCAACCCTATTCACATCTTATTTGCATATACCGTATGTACAGGGTGTCTATGAAAAAGTAAACTAAAGTTTGATGGTAATTTACCAAATAACCCTTAAACTACTTTTTTAATTAATGTATAGACATCATTGGAAAGCTCGAGCGGTGGTCTCGTAACCGGGAAATCAATGGTTAGACACCAAGCCTTTGGCAAGGCTTTCATCCTCATTACCAAGTCCCTCGGAGAAGGGCCTAAAGCTGTCGGTCCTTTGGATGCTTACTTACAAGCATACACATGCTTTCTTAGCAGTCAGGTTAAAAAAAAGACCATCGAACCAAAAACCTGACAAACATGTCTCAGTACAATATATGTACAATACAATACAAAAACAACCACGAATTTGGAAATTACATTACATTTTATATGTATCCATCCGACTGCGATGACTATGTGTAAAGCATACAGACTAGATACTGTGCAGCATATTTCATTGGTATATTTCATAGCAATTGATCCATCCAAAATACATATTCGAAGTTTAAATGTATTATAATACAGACTGAAAGTGAACAATATTGAATCTTTAATACAGAACAATGGAGCTATTTCCATGATAACATGACACATTACGTGCAATTTATGTCATTTTTTATAGCATTCTCTTTGCCAAAATACTATTTACATGTAACATATGCATATTTCCTTTTTTATAGCGAGATGAATTTTCAATTTAAACTGTAGTCTTCAATATATTTAGTTTATAGCTATTTTCAATATACAGTGCGTCCCCGAAAAAACTTAACCGAGAATTATCGATGTTTTATCATAACTTAGTCACAATTATAATTGATGAATGACACATATTTGTAAAGCTTAGATCCACTTGTTTCATTTCCTGCAAATCATATGATGCATATTTCACGCATGAGTGATTAAAGACAAGTTGAAGGGAGGGTACCAAAAAGTCACTTGGCGGGCGGTATCTGACTTTCAAAGAGAAAATCACATTTCTAGAAAGTTCATTTTGTGCCCTTTCATATGACACCTCAATCAGGAGAAATGAGCCAGGAATAACAAAGTTCTGCTTGTTCAAAGTAATGGTTGCATTTCCATAATTTGATTAAACGAATTCGTTTTCACTGGCTGCCTGCTGTAGCAACAAACAGAGTTGACAAAAGACTTAACTCCGTTTCGTTGAAAATTAGCCAGTGAAAATGAATTCGTTTAATCAAATTATGGAATTGACACCATTACTTTGAACAAACAGAACTTTGTTATTCCTGGCTGAATTTCTCCTGATTGAGAGGTCATATGAAAGGGAAGAAAATGAACTTTCTAGAAATGTGTTTTTTTCTTTAAAATTCAGATACCGCCCGCCAAATAATTTTTTGGTACTGTCTCTTCAAATTGTTTTTAATTACTCATGCGTGAAATATGCAATTGAATGAGGAGGATCTAAGCTTTACAAATATGTGCAATTTATTAATTACAATTGTGATTAAGTTATGATAAAACATCGATAGTCCTCGGTTTCGTTTTTTTCTGGGACGCACTGTATATTACAACAAAATCCCAAACTCAAACAAACAAACAAATAAAACAATCACGTGCAATTCATGTCATTGTTATAGCATTTGTTTTGTGAAAATATGTCCTACAGAAAAGTATGTAGCTATTTACAAATTACGACAGATTAAAGAAAAAATTATTTCAAAAAACAAACAAACAAACATATAGGCCAAATACGTGCATTTATTTTTTTCAATGTTTTAGGTCCTACATACTTAGTATCAAGTTTCTTAGTAACACGAAACATCAATAAAGTTTACACTTAAAAATGCAAAGTGTAATGTAGCTATTTTCATTATAGATTACCAAAAAGAAAAACACACCAGAAGCTAATATAAACAAACAATCAATCAGGTGCAATTCATGTCATTATTTTATCATTTGTTTTGTCATAACATGCTCTACATTTGTTTATCAATGACTAACTTGTTTCTTAGCAACACTAACAAACAATAAAAATCAGTCTTAAAATACTAAGTATGATGTGGCTATTTAAAATCTATGATCGAT